CCCACAAGAGTGTCCCACAAGAGTGTCCTATAAGAGTGCCCCACAAGAGTGTCCTACAGGAGTATCCCACAAGAGTGTCCTACAAGAGTGTCCCACAAGAGTGTCCTAGAAGAGTGTCCCACAAGAGTGTCCCACAAAAGTGTCCCACAAGAGTGTCCCACAAGAGTGTCCTACAAGAGTGTCGTACAGGAGTGTCCTACAAGAGTGTCCAGAGTGTCCTATAAGAGTGTCCTACAAGAGTGTCCCACAAGAGTTTCCTACAAGAGTGGCCCACAAGAGTGTCCTACAAGAGTGTCCCACAAGAGTGTCCCACAAGAGTGTCCTATAAGAGTGTCCCACAAGAGTGTCCCACAAGAGTGTCCCACAAGAGTTTCCGACAAGAGTGTCCTACAAGAGTGTCCTACAAGAGTGTCCCACAAGAGTGTCCTACAAGAGTGTCCAGAGTGTCCTATAAGAGTGTCCTACAAGAGTGTCCCACAAGAGTGTTCTACAAGAGTGTCTCACAAGAGTGTCCCACAAGAGTGTCCTACAAGAGTGTCCCACAAAAGTGTCCCACAAGAGTGTCCCACAAGAGTGTCCTATAAGAGTGTCCCACAAGAGTGTCCTACAAGAGTGTCCCACAAGAGTTTCCTACAAGAGTGGCCCACAAGATTGTCCTACAGAGTGTCCCGCAAGAGTGTCCTACAAGAGTGTCCTTTGGACATATTAGTTTTTCGATCGTGTTTGCATTCGGGTTCGTGGGTTCCATCTTGTTTTTTACCTCAACAAAAACATTTGGTGATTCCAGTGTCTTCCAATCCGGTCTCAACAAACAGGTCGGTGAACATAAGATCTCCACCACGCAGGTCTCGCCCGTCTCTCTCACCAAGTGACATGCCGATGAGCAGCGCCACGAAGGAGCCTTTCATCACCCATCGCCCACCCTCGCATCCCTGAAGAGTCAGAGAAGTCAAGAACCTGACGAGAATGCCGCGGGATTGATTTTTGGTGAGGGATGGTGAAGTGCCAGGGCGACCTCAATGTGTAGGTGAACCAGTGATGTTTGGTTTGTTTGGACGAAGCAATATGAACCAAGGACCAAGGATCAAGAAAGGTTCAGAACAGGAGACGGTTGTCATTGTTTGGCTCCAAAAGCTCTCACATCCCCACCAGAAAAAGATAATGCTTTTCCTATACTACCTTTTCGACAATTTCTGCCTTACCTATGCTGAAACCCAACATGGGGTTCCACATGGAGCTCTCTATTACACAACCATCCCTTCTGCGGGTCAGCCACAAAGCTGCTGCAGTGCCGCATGACCCCCTTCGCATCGACACAGCACGGTCGTGCGCTCGTCACGGCCCAGCGGTGCCGGGCATGGCTCGGTCAAGGGAACCAGCCATCGGGAATAGGCGGTTCCAGAATTCTTGTACAGCAATCATGAGACATGAATAACTCCAATTATGACCTACCAATTATAGTTAGTTAGTTCTTATATAGTACGAGTACAATTCAACAACTAAATCTTAGTTAGTCAAAAAGTAACTCTTGACCTACCAATCGCTAGCAGCTAGCTGCTCCAGTTGGCTGTTTTCAAGTAGATCTGGTTGGTATTTGCCTTTACGAACCGGTTTTCTGTGTGGAGCACCAGAAATATGTAAGATGTTTGACACTAAATTTTCTCATGGATGGTCAATCTCCGGCTTCTCCCTGCGTCCCTCCTGGTTGCGAGGCCATGAGAGGTCCGAAAAGACCAGTTGCGATTCAGTTTCAGTTTTGGGGAGAAGTACCAGACCAGGTCAAGGAGCTGGTCAAAAGGTCTGAATGAGATCTCTAGGACCTGGGTTTATTGGGTCCGACTGGGCTGGTTGGACAACGACCCAGCCACCAACGAAGAACCCACCGTTCGCAGCATGGAGTGCTGTGGCAGAGCCAGGCAAGCTATTGGACCAACCAGAGCCGGAGCAAACCGCACCAAAAAAATGGCCGACCTGGCCGGCGACACCTCCGGGGCGTGGGCCGCAACACCCCAAGGACTAAGAGGCGCCCCCGTGAATCGAGTCGAGTGAGGCCGCTGAGCCAGTTCTGGAGTCCGCAGTCTCAATATACCTTGGTCACTTCCTTGGTCCATCTGTTGTCATTTTAGAGACATGATTCCACCAGAACATGGTGCGCAGATCGAGCTCTCACCGGGGGGGGCGCATGTGTGCTAGATTCGACCCAAAGTCAAATCCAACGTTGACATTGACAATATAACTTGTTCGGCCAACTTCTGATATCAAAACTAAGCACCTAAAATAGCAAGAACTCCATAGATTGAAACCCATCAGTTTGACTATTTGTTTTGTTTTTCTCTTTGTTGAATTCTGGACTTTAGTTGCAGGGATAAGACACCGTCTCAAACAGCAAGACACCGTCTCAGAAACAACAGGATTCCTAACGAGTCGACCAACAAAACGGACAGGTCAAACAAATGCTACTCCTCATCCGAGCCGTGTGCAACCCCGCCGTGATTCTAGTTCGTCTCAACCCGTGATGTGTGTTGGATGACGTCACTTTTGACTCCATTAAAAGAAACACAAACAAACAAATAGTCAATGACCCTGAAAAGCCAAACAACTACACTACGAGGTGATATGTGTTTTGGTCCATCCTGGTCCACCCACCGCCATGCTCGGACGCTTCAAACAGGTCCAACGGTGCCAAGATCTTGATCGTCGTGGGGCCACACCTGAGTCGAGTGGAGTCGCTTGCGTCGCTCGGTCCGTCGCTCCGTCGCTTGCGTCGGGGAGTTCATGTCCATGGCGGAAGTGGCACCATGCGATGGTCAGAGAACAAAAATAATAGGAAGTGACACCATGCTCCTGGCGTTGCTACTATATTACTATACAAGTAGTAACAAGGGCATCGCTACGAATTGGTAGCGATCGAACGCTACGAACGTAGCTCCTGGAGGAGAAGAAGAAGAAAAGGCATTTTTGGTGTTCACATCTAAAGCAAGAGAGGTGAAGTGACCGTCAATAGGACCCGTCACCTGGGGTACGCAACTGGGATAGTCTCCTCTGTTGGAAGCTTAGGATACTTCTCTGCATGCAAATGGAGTTCTTCGATACCGGATGTTTGGTCGATTCAGGTTGTCCGATGATCCATGCCCCCGTGCAGACTTGTACCCCCTTTGAAGGAGACTGAAATTTAAGATGATTTAAGGCTGTTCAATAACTACTATTCCAAATGCCATGCCATTTACCTTATTTAATTATGTGTTTCTCTGGAGTGTCAGTGAGGTCTGGTGACTGGCAGGTCAGCCCATCGCTGCACACCAGTAAAGAACTTGGGAACAGCAATATACCAGGGCCACTACCAGGGCCTTCCAGGAGGTTTCCACTCGAAATACCCCCGCAATTTTTGGTGCTTCCAATGGACAAAGGCGGGAAGCTCCACGATTTATATGCGTGTCAGCGCCACATGTGGTCAGTATATGTCAAGCATTGGCAATCACAATTTTCCAGTGTTGCTTCCTATATACATGCATCATTCATCCCTGAGATGACTAAACAGAAGAACCTGAAGAGCCAACTTCGTCGGCTGACCCCGAAAACCCATCCAAGTCATCGGCTGACCACGGCCTCACGAGGCTCCCAAAGGAGATCCCAAACCAGTTGACCATGTCGTTCGTCTGTTCATCTAGTTTCACCACTCCCACTATTCACTCCGTCGAGCCCCTCCGCTCAACCTTCCAGACCAGCGGTTGAGCCGAGGCACTCGTGGTGTTGCTGCACCTGGCCGAGCCATTGCTCCACGTGGTCGAAGCTGGCCTCGGGGAGTGTTCGGCCGCGACGGGAGATCGGACGAGGCGGGGCTTTCGAGGCGTACGGGGGCGACCCGACGTGGAGCGACGTGGAGCTACGTGGCTTCGTGGTGACCTGCAAAACAAGTCTTCACTTGCCCCTGAAATAAATCATGAACATCCTATCTGATGACAGCTACTCCCCGACTGAGCAACGGCTTGAAAACAAAACACACACAGAACAATGCAGTCCAATGAAGCGTGTTCAATGAAGCCATCTACATGCGCACTCCATCACAAGGTACGACACGCATATCCATCCTATCTGAGCGTATCACACTTCGCCAATCCCTCTCGCACCGGCAGCTCCAGGTTTGTGGGAATAGTGCACCAGATTTGACTTGGGTTGGCTTTGGTGATCACCCCGCCATCCATCAGGTCCTACGAATTGCGTAGTGTCATTAAAACATATTAAGTAGACTTGATGATCATACTAGTCAACCGCTTTTGTTTGGTCCAAACGCTATATCGGACCCCTCAAACCTGTACCTCAGCATGATCCTGACCCGACCCCCAAACAAGTAAAGCCCAGTGACTAAGAGATCACCTACTGATCCCACATTCCATGTACCGCTCAAGCTATATACGTATATATAATATACACATGTATACACTGGGACGTCAGCAAATCTATAACTTGGTCAGTTTGAGCCTGAGAAATATGGCGAAATACGAGGTTGGCTTCCAGGAAATCCTACTACAGTAATAGAGTAAATCAACATGATTTGTTTGCAGACCAGAACATTATTCAAATCCGATACAGTAAATCTTCACAGACCTGTGAACCCCCTGTGAAACCCTACTTAAGCCACTCTTTTCCTCACGCACAGCCAGGGCCTTCTTGATCCCCCACAAACAGCTGCTTTGCAGTGGGATGTGCGGGATGTCTTTCAGACCCGATTCAAAGCGTGCGATTCTGCTCGGTGGGGTTCTCGGTGGGATTCATCACGTGGAGTCTCTCACAGCGTCGCGACTCCCATGACCTAACGAATAAGGCTAAGGCTTAATCAATAATAGTATATACAATAATGTACGTAGTAGAATGTATAATATATACATATCTAGGGTAACCTTCAAATTCCAAAACCTCTGGTAAAGGGACAAGTGATTAGACCAGAACCTGTGGGTCAAGCTATATGTTTTGAAGCCATCCACATGAATTGCCAGGATCAACGAATGTCTTCCCCCGGTCTTTGAAAACGATCGGTGCTCAAGCGAGCACCACGTTCTGCTGCACCGTGCTCAGGCCGTTCTGCTGCACAAATGGCATTGTGTTGGGGTCGTGTCGTTGACGGGATTGTGCTTGAAAAGGGAGAAAGGGAGCGAAAAGGAGTGTGTGATGTTTAGATTTAATGAAATCAGCATAAAAATGCAGCATAAATCAGCCCTTTCTGAAAAAGAGATGCTGTTTCCTCCAGTTTTCATGCTAAGGCCATAGTCATTTACCGAAACAAGGACTGACTATGCTGCGTTTGATCTTGGATTGCCTTTTCAGAAGTCCTAGTTCAAATTCCCAAAACCGTAAGGTTGGAATGGTTTGCCAAGTGTCTTGTAATGTTGACATAGGATTCAGTAACCACCCCTATTAATCAATCCCAGCTCGACCCCCCCAATACTAAACTAATTTTAATTTTAGAACCTAAATTTTCCCCTTGGCATCACCCTAATATTTCTTTTCTCTACAAGAAACCTCCCCCTATTAATCAATCCCAGCTGTCCCAGAAAAATGACAAATATATAGTTTACTTTAATATTTCTTTCTTATTTACGATCTTTTTGGCTAGTATCCAATATCTTCTGTTCCCCAAAAATCTCTCTAGCAAAATTCGTTCATTTTCCCTCATTAAAACTATATCAAAATCTTAACGTTTTCTGTCTCACAAAGGGGTACCCCTCTCAGAGGCCTCAGTGTTCACACAGAATCATATCAACCATCATCCATCATCAGGTCATCATCTTTATTAAAGGGATGTGGTCCTCAGATACCTCCAATCTCAGACCTTGTTGACCCGTTTATTAATCCTACGTCGAGATTAGGGGGTATATATACACATATCACTTCTTAGGGTTTTGATATGTTTTGTCTTGACCAACTGCTTGGCCCTTCCACCCACCGACCAGTCGTGCAAAAGCTTGTCCTGGCCGCAGCGTCGCAGGAAGCCACGGCGAAGCTTCGTCAACCGTGAGTCCACCTCAAGTGTATTTTGTCGACCGGGTACTTTGTCGACTACGACAGATCGGCAGGTTGTGAGCTTCCTTCAAGTGTATTGGTCATGAGTTCATAAGATTTCTATTTGGGGAGTTCAAAAAAGCAAATATGTTCAAAGAGCTAGGCTTGTCCTACCGACCAACAACAGGCAGCCAAATCCAACAAAATAATCATCGAACTTGCAGGGCGTTCCGAGGCTTTGGATCCAATTCGCTTGTGAAGTCTCTTGTTGAAACATCTAGGAATCCGGTTTTAAAGGTAGTTTTAGTCTGACACCTTCAGTTCTGCCTTGAGGAGAAAAGCACATCACCCACAAATATGACGCAATTTGCCGCCATCAAAATTGAGGTCATTAGCATATGCTGAGGTCGTTGAGTCATGAACGCGTGTTCCCCTCACCTTGTGAAGGTTCATTTACTGTCCCGACCTGGCAAATCCTATCTCCACAAAATACACCGGGACACCTTAAGAAATACACCAGAAGTACAGGCACGAATCACTTCCCAACAAGTTATAAGGTCTCTTTATCGCCAAGTCGTTGCAATCGACTGGCTTCAGGCAGCTGCTTGCGGCGCTGGGTGTTTCACTGGAGCCGCGGAGCCCGAGTTCTTGGCCTTCCCGTCGGATCGCCGTTGGAAAAACGGTGCCAAGCGGCGATTCGAAACGACCGCGGCAGCAGTGATAGGAAAAAAACAAACACTTGTTGATATTTATTGATCGTTTTTGTAAAAAAAATCATATACTGTAGATCAACTCGATCCGCGCCAAAAGGAATATCTGCTGTGCCAATAGCAGTCATGCAGTAATTTCTGGAGTTCCCCCCAAAAAAGAATCCAAGCAAAGTATCGAAGGTGCGACCGGGTGACACCTCACAAACGCCCTCAATAAGCCTTAGCTGCTGATAAACACAATGCACAGCTGGTGATCGCTTTAATCTGCATATGTTGATGGTGCAAAAAATGTGTTGAACATAGACTGGCACTTCTTGCATCATCATTGCTACTCTTTGTAGTTCCATAGTGTCTGGGCATAGCGTTTACTGTGGTGGTGTTATATACGTTACTTACACTATAACAGTATATATATATTTATCATACAGTTACATCCAATCCAAACTGCTTTGGATACACTCTACCGACCATATATTCCGGCAGCGATGTCTTCTCTTGGATTCCATGGATGCTCGCTGTTGTGAAGCAATGTACACAAATAGATAGTTATCTATATAACTATCTACACATCCCGCCACCCCTCTTGCTTCTCGTCTATTCTCCTATCAACCAACCAAGATGAGAATTTTGCTACTTGCTGACGTGGTCACGGTGCAAAGGGGATGCCACGCGTCTTCCGCAGGTGAACAGTTGGACCTTCCGACCGTCTTCGCCCCAGACCCTGCGCCGATCGCCCACGCGCGCGCTCGCCCCACGCACGCCGGTCGTCGCCCGGCCTAGCGCAACAATCCTTCGGCACCCGACCTCGCATCCCGCAGAACGAACGACGCGGAACGTCGACCGGGAAGGACCGCGTCGAGACATCGGCGCCGTGGTGCCATGTAGATCAACGTGATTCGACCATGTCTGCATAGGTGGGGGATGCATGTCTGCTTTACAGCTCAAAGAACTCAGGTGCGTAGCAAGGTGCACAATGGTGGCCCAGGCTGGTAGAAACGCCAATGGTAGGTTTGCCCGGAAGAAACATGAGAAAACTGGTCGTTGAATCAAGGAACACGACGCTGCTTCGCATGTGCGGACTTATGCCAGCCGGGTAAACAATTCTGAACCCCTTAGAAAGCGTGTTCTTTGACGGTCTTTGAAGCATATTTGGACCACTATGCTTTTTGACTTTCTCGTCGAATTGCGCTTGGAGATGCTAGCAGCTTGCGTGCCATTCCGTGTCATTCCGTGTCAGGGGTCAAAACCCCAGGAAACCTGGGGGTACCCATGGGGTATACCTCAAAGCTAATGGGTATCAAATGAACATACCTTGGAGATGCCCTATATCGTGGTTCTAGCGGTTTGGAAACCCTGTTTAGGGACCACCAGGGGTGTCAATTGGGCAAAACCATTGGGCATTTTTCGGATACGTCTGAAACCTTTTTGTTCACAAGGAATGTGCTAAGAGGTCTGCACACTTGTCAAATATTTTACGTTTATACCATCTAATATCTTGTTCGCGGCTATCCAGCCTCAGCGTTTCCTTTTTCGAGCGGTCTAAACTCCTTCCAAGGGACTCCTTGAGCAGCCGCTGCAGGAATTTGCATGGTGGTTTTGCCTTCGGCCTTCAGTCGACGATGACGGCGCCATGCGCTGTGTTGCGGGGGTTGAGCGCAGTAGCTGGGAGAGATACGTCACCCCAGATCCTTGATATTTTAAAGGACAAAAGCTTGTCTGGCCTATAGGTCTGATATGGTCTGATAGTCAGATTTGGCACGTCGCCTTCTGCGAAAGCATCCCCTATCCTGCCAGCACTGCTGATTCACCAAACCAGTTTTCCCCGCTTGGAGGTCCCTCCTGGCTTCACCGTATCTAAAAGAGACCTCCCATGATGTGGCTGTGGGTCATGGCACCCGGAGCCCGGTCGGTTCTTTTTCAACCGGTAGGTAGACCATACGGTGTCGCCGGTGTTTTCACCATATCGACACCCAGCCACCCTGTAGGTCATGGCTGTGGGTCAGTCCAGACATGAAACGTTCACCCATATATATAGGTAGACCATATATATGTCTAGTATAGGGCGCCTCTATTCTGTTCATGCTCGGTGGGAAAAACTGGTCAGTGGCCTCAGGACCGCTCCTTCACCCGACGAGTCGACTGAGGCTTCCAGACTTGGGCCGAGATTGTTTCTCGGTCCTTGGAAAGGTTGAAAAGAAGCTAAGCTGAGGGCAAATAATAAGTAACATCAAACAACACACATACAACCAATGATGTGCTGGTAAAGCATGTAAAGACAACTTTTCCCAATTGCTGTAGAGACGGAATACATCACATAAGGTCAAGGGACCTCTTGAACAGGACCTGATGAATGACAGCCGGCGATTGACCAGTGATGGCTGAGGTCGTGGCAACGTCGGGGTTGACTTCGACACTTTCCTCAGGTCGTTCTGACATGCACCTCCAAACTGGTGCAAACTGGGATCCACTGAAGTCTTCAAGTCACCACTGGGATCCGAATCAGGATCCTTTTCCGAAGATTCTTTTTCCGGAACAAAAAGAGTGTCACTGTAGTCGGTCTATATTGGCCATGTGAAAGCACGGAAGCAGTGACCAGCACAAGCAACGAGGTTCTTATCTTTTTGAGAGCTCAGGCTGGCTACTGGAAGAGCTCCCGAGTGGCTCCCAAGTGAACAGGAGGCGCCCCCTCTACCAGTGACCGGCACAACCCTAAAACTTCACCTTGAAACGTCTCTTCTCAACATCCCCTGTTGGCAGGGCCAACCAATCAACACTGGAGACATGGTCCCATGCTGGGAATGTCAGATGGACGAGGTTTCTCACTCAGTCTGCTAAAGTATAAGCATCAAGTCCCCTACCTGCGACCCAATCATGGACCCCTCTGTTGACTATTTCAGGGACGATGAATCACCGATAGAATCACCTCAATTCACCTCGAACGGCACGCCTTAAATAGCAGGGAACCCAAGTGGGTTCAGTGACAAAAGTTCACCACCTTGCAATACCAGCGAAATAGGACGACCCAGGACCCTATCAACTCAGCACTTCCATTTCGTCTGGAGGAAGCTGCTGCTCTGCCTCTAGCGGCCTCGGCTCTGCCTTTGAGAAAGTTTCGGAACGAAAAGGTGTTGATCCTCAGGTGGTTAGACGGTTAGACCTTCCTGGCACCCAAGCCACGGCTCCCACCTTCTCAGGAGTGGTTGGAGCCCTAGGGATCCAACGGATCACCTGCAAAAAGACCTGTGAGACCCCATCCCGCCGAGGCCTTCCGGCAAGATGGCCCTGCGGCGTAACTATATCACGGGGCCCGAGCAAAGGTGGCAAGGGATAAGGATCCACTTTCCTGACAGCGAAAATGCGACGTGTCCACAGATGAACTGTGGCAATTTGATACTTGGGTCATCATGGGTCCATGCTGTTCCATTGAATCCACTAAGAGCAAGGGCATCGCTACTAGTCATCATGGGTCCATGGGTCCTCTGAAAAATATGACGTGCATTCTATTCACCCAGGGGCACTGCGACCCAGGGTTTGGTTCAGAATCTGATGCCCAAGGGATCCACAAAGAGCAGGTCACCAGTGGCGAACCGAACTTGTTGTCATATTTTCATATATTTTCTACATACCTAGAGCCGGAGTGACCTCTAGTTTGGACCACCAACCACCCCCAAAATGTCACTTTACATATCAAAACAAAGGTCATGTCTGGGCATATGTATGGCTGTGAGTCAAGACCTTCCCAACCTAACCATGGTAGGCTGACATCCTCTGAAAAATGGAATCTGTTCATGTGACTTCAACCAAAATGCACGGGCGCCATGACCCACAGCCACCACAGCCATATCCCCTGCCCTATGGATCCAATAAACACATCCGTCCAAGACCTGAGTAGAAGCTCATGGGCCCGAGCTACCATGTTTTCTTCTCAGAAGCACATCATGTGTTCTACTGTACTCAATGTGTTTGTTTCTGTGTGTTTTCTTTCAGTCTGTGGCGGTGGACAAAAGAAGAACACCTCATGTAGTGCACCACGGTGCATCCATTTTGATCAATACGCCACAACAACCCTAGTTCCAGCATCGATCCCCTCTGCCACAACGCATTGCCAATCCTGAAGTTGCCAGCTTCATCCCAACGACACCCAGCTACCTCCGCCACCTCCGCCTCCCGGCGCTTGGCGCCACCGCCCTCCACATCCCCGCCCACCGAGAAGGTGCCGTCTCCATCTCCGAGCCACGGCGGCGGCATCAGGGGCATCCCCACATACTTTTCGCTCTTAGACGGGATCAGTTGCCTTGGCGGAGGCGCCGGCGCCGGCAGGCGGAAGCCGGAGGGCGGGTTGGGAGGGTGGTTCCGCCGTTACGCCGTGAGCGGATTGGGAGTTGGAGGAGCCACCTAGTGGGGACGGAGAACCTGTTGGGTTGATGTTCTGACATGTTGTGAGAAGTAGGGAACTCTTTCAGGATGCCTCGCTTTTCGTAGGGTTCTGCAGATATGACGATCTATGAGTTGGAGCCAGCCTGATCCTGACTACTTCAATTCGCTTCCCTTAACACCTCCCAGTGACTTTGACCTGGAGATGGTGAGTTGAACCGTGCGGCCATATATATATATACCTAGAACCCATTTGACCTCTGTTTTGATAGGAAAAGACTATATTTTGGGTGGTTGGTGCTCCAAAATAGAGGTCACTCAGGTTATAGGTATATATATATATGCCTGAGTTGTAAGTTGTATGCCTGCAACCTCAAACGATCACCGTTTCTTGAATGCCAATCAGTTTTGGGACACCACATGGCGATGGTGTTCTGTTTTGGCTAAAATGATGAATAAAATACCAAGGTTGACAATCAAGAGATGCTGTCATTGAAAAACACAACGACGTTCTGTGAACCACCTGAAACGACAACCAAAAGCACAACGCAAAAGATCAATGCAACTACTATGCAAACGTGCAAACGTTGGGCTCCGGTGTCTTCATTACACTTTGGAATCTCCGGATTTAGATTAGCTTCGATCAAAACATCTAGATGTTGATAGGTGCTCTTGGCACCAATGGTGATTCAAAGCCTGCTAGGGCCTGGGCCAACAAAACAGGAACCCCCGACATAGAACTGAATACGGGATAATATCTAACTACGAAATCCATGTTCATGTATATGTGTGACATATGTTTCATGTGTATGTCATTCAGTGACCCTTGAGCCATCTTGAGCCCCTCCAAACTCCCATCATCCATGTTGAACCCGGCCGAAGTCCAGCGCACACTAGCGGACAAACAAACACCGCAGGAAAACTGAGATACGAACAAACCGATGCAACAAATGTGTACACGTGTACATATAGTTACAACAAACGTATCAAAAGCAAACAGCCAACCCTACCTCTGAACTGGAGGGTCCTATGACATGTGTTGACCCTGCATCATGGGGCCCTTGGACCCGAACCAAACCTTCACCGACTTGAGGGTCCTTGTATTCTTAGGGAAAGCAAACACATGCAAAAACATCAATTGCTTTAATTATACTTTGAGCGATCTACTTTGGAGGACATAGAAGAAGGGCTCCCCACCATGACCCTCAAAAAGAGCGAACCAAACCCCTCCAAACCCCCTTCCCACCTGAAAAAAAACAAAAGAACCGGGCGCGGGGTGCGGAAAAAGCCACGGCTTCGTCCGATCGATCCGACCGGGCGCTCCGAGCTGCAGAATCTCCTCCCGCTGTGGACTCGTCGGACCTCGAGTCGAACGACCGGTCCGGGGCGAAGGAAGCGACCGCGGTGAAGCGAAGGAACCCCAGGCGACCGCGGTTGGAAGAATTCCACGCCGTATTGATGGAAGAATTGACATACCATGCATAATGGGTTACGGTTAGGCATAGGTGTGTTCTGGCAGAAAGGGGAGACCCTCTAGCCGCTTGCCTGCCAATGGATTTCGATGTTCTCCCTTTGGATGGTTGATGGTCGATCGTGACGGATGTTTACTTCCCATAGTTTGTGTCCATCATTTGAGTTGCTTTTCGGTCAGATACAAAATCAACTGAAATTATTTTGTATCTGACGCAGAAAGGGGGTGGATTGACTGCCTAAAACCCATGTAACATCCGCTCTCTAAATACAAACAGTTGTCCTTGCACCATGAAATCCATTGTCCGCTGACCAAGTGCAATTCTTTCAAAAGCACACATATCGCGCATCTTGCACCACCAACGCCTGCACCCGGACCATGGCGCTGAAACTGGGTCTTACTTCTCCGAAAAGAGGCCACAACAGCTGTCTGGCCGCAGAAACACCTGCCATGTATATAACCAACAGCACCAAACCACCTGACCCACCCCACCCCACCTACACTTATTGACTTCGAAATAAACACACTGCACCACCCCACCATCGAACCATCTCGCTTCAGGGCACTGTCGCCCTTCTCGCCCTTCTTGTGGTCGATTTTGGTCTCCTCGTGCGCTCGCATCTCCTCCTGGAACAGGTGCAACGAAGGTCGAACGAGCGGCGGAACCGGGTTGGAACGGTTGAGCCGGGTTGTTCATATATAGGGTCCCCAACACCGGAATTTGCTGACTGTTCCTGGGTCCGGGGACAAAAGACTTCCTTCGCCCAATGTGTTTTTTTACCTCTTGCTGGGTGTGGATTCCAAGCCTTTTTGTCCACAGAAGAGTGATCTGAGCAATAGGCGGCCGTCACCGTGTTTTTGAACTGGGTGGAACTCGGTAGAATGGTGAATCATATGGTTTTGCATTGGAATAGGGAGACCCTCCAAGCAAGATATGTCAGAGAGTCCTGTTCTTTAATGCCAGGGAGGCCTTTTTGGGGCTCTTGCTCTTGTAAAGACTCTTGTTTCCGCCCACATTATGGGAGAATGGGTATGTATCAAAATAAGCAACGACACCGCTGGAAGGTTCGGGAAAATAGATCAGTTTATATAGTCTACCCACCCTATTCAAACACACAGCCTCAAAAAGGGTGTTCCTAAAAGAACGGCACCCCCTTTTTCCTTCGAACCTATGGACGCCCCCCCCCGAGCCCGAGTGTCATGGACCGGTGGCAAGCCGTCGGGAGATCGACCATGATCCACGCACGAAGAAATCCGGATCTTGCGTCATGCATCATCGTTCAAAAGAAACAGGTTTCACCTTCACCATCCAAACAAGTGGAGACACAACGAACTCCATGTACACACACATGCATACAAAAAAAAACATATAGAAACACTCTGAAACACTAAATCAAACTACAGTAGCCCAAACTGACCATCAGTGACCAAGTAACGCCAACACAGCAAGCTAGTCCAGCCTAACCCGACCGACCCCCAAGGCCGCGGACGACCGCCCCTCCTCCTTGACCTCCCAAGAGTCCAAGAAGAAGATCTCCTAGCGATGCTGGTCGTTTTGTTAGATCCTTTTTTGCCGGAAAGTGTTCTGTTTGGTTAGCTATTTGCTGATGCTATTGGTTTTGCACAGATACGCATCTATAAGTTGTTGGGAATCATCCGACCGATCATCGGATGGTCGAGAAAATCACATTGACCAGCAGCTTGGAACTGTGTGTTTCCAAGAAATTGCTAGGAATGCCGCAGCCTAAGACCTCTGAACAAAGAAGATATAAAGAAGTATTGCTACAGCTACATCTATAGGTTGGTGCTGAGCCAGGGAACTAAACGCACACATGCAAATAATGGTTTCTCTGACTTTTTTGTACCATCTACTCTAGACAAATAGAATTTTGCGGGTCTTCTGCTTCAATCAACAAAAAGGGCACCATCAAACATATACGTCAAAACAAACATGCCCTGAAATCAGTGCTTTCTGATGCGCTCAAAACGCCCATCCCAGTTCCCTCCTGGTGTGAGATATTCCGCCGTCCACCCGCACGCGCCCTGGGAGCGGCCGATCAAACGTGGAAACCTTCTCCGGCGTCGGATGGGGCGGCTGTTTCAAGCCCCCCCCAAAAAAACGTTGATTTCCCTGCCTATACAGTGTATATATATATATATTTATACATGTAAAGCCTATATCGGAAAAGAACATACCAACATCTACCAACAAAGAGTCCCACACAACTACGTGCAAGCACTACTTGTTGAATCAATGGGCTTCGACATGCTTCAACTTGAAGATTCTTCCACTCAAAGGACTGACCTGTTACTGTTTGCTGCTTTGGATTTGTGAGGCCATTCAATCTTGCTGAAGGCTACCTCTATCAGACTCTATCATCAAAGAGGTGTCAAGTTTGTGGTGTCGTCATGTTCATGTGTAATCAACTGTTATATTGATTTTCTTGCATGAACTTATAAATCAAAAGCAACAAATGCAAAGTGCAGTGGCCAACTAGAGGGTATCAGGCCAACTACGGCCCCGGCCCATCAGTGTCAAGGCAATTGAAGAGGAGATGCACGTCGCCGTTCCATTTCAACCTGCCGAAGCGCGATGCCATGCGATGCTAGACAGCCCAACAAAGAAAGCTATCTGGCTGGTGTCTTCAACAGGTTTCAATCCACTTGAAACATAATTGATCGTATCATGTAATAACTTAATTGTCATTTCATGTCATATTGAGTAATTACCAATGCCCGTTATGCAGTTGCGGCACAAAACAACGGGCCAGGCTAGCTAGTTTCTCACATTGTAAGTCATGGGATGTCCTTTTGATAAAGATTGCATCCTGCATCCTCTTATTAGAGTTCGACCTTGTTGAGCCCAAACATGTGGAAGCATGAACAAACACGTGACATGTGTGCTTCCCAGGCTTCCCAGCAAGTCCGCGACAAAGTTTAACTGGCACCTTTGTAACGACAAAGTTTAACTGGCACCTTGGAAGGACCATCTAGTTAAAAGGTATTGACATACAGGAACATCTCTGATTCAGGGGTACATGTCTTGGACATCATAGCTGGTCTTTGATGTTTGAATGCGATGCCATTGAACCCTTCAGCCATTTGGCTGGATGCGCTTGGGGGCGAGAGCGCTTCGTAAACGCCACGACCTTGGAAGTTTCCCAGGACCATCTTAGTCTTGATCAAAATCAAGCTAAGGCTGGCTGGCTGATCATGCAGGAAGTGCGCCCTTTGCCCAGTTCTTTCTGATTCAAGCGCTGTTCACTACGTTAATCATCACGGCGTTCACTACTTCTTAGCGCACCATTGAGAGCATCCATCCCGTAGCCCTCTCGGCCCCCAATGAAAGTACTTTTCAATAAATAATATTGACACCCTTCAAGGGGAGTTTGAATATGTATCTGACTAGATGGATATTATTTTTTGGGGGTGCAGTGTAGAGTGCATTTTTTGCAGCTGCCGCAATGCCCGACTCGAAGCCCAAGCCTGAGCAGGTCCAATTGTTGAAGGCTGGTCGTCACAACTGCATGGGTGCAACCAATCAATTCTTTCCATTGGCCAGGAGTTCTATGACAGCATCATCACACCAGACTACTACAATGAAAGGATGGTACTGCTTGAACGATCCAAAAAGAACAAAAAGGCCAGCCATTTCTTAACCATCAACGTTGCTAGTGCCAATAGAATTGATATACATGTATATCATATTTATGGATTTGGCTGCTAGGCCAAGCTCGTCTTTAGCTTCCTCGACATCGAGTCAAATTTCATCGATGAAAAACAGGCTGATACAATCTCTATTGTATATGATTATTTTCAAAGTACTGTTCTGTTCATTTCCAGGTGACAGCTTCTGGGAATTTTGACTTCGTCCTCCTCTGGGTCTCTATGTCGGAGTTTGTGGGACAACCTCCAACCAGAAAAGAAGTCCAGGCCATATCAAATGTATTTCACCAGTACAATGTGGGGTGCCTTTAAAACGCTGGGGAGGCTGCGCTTCGTTATGCAAATGAACGTCATCGGCTGAACACGTTTGAGACCAAAGAGGATTTAGAGGATTGCATTCGATAGTGGCCAAATAACTATATTCCTGGCTGCCCCATCGCCAGGACTGGCTGGAGACAGAAGCCAACCTACACAGAGGTTGCGCCAGCTTTGTTGGTGAAAGAGCTAAGCGGCACTCTGGTGTGAGGCCATGTTGATCTAGATCTAAAGTGCATGATCTGGCATGACCGAATTGAATAGGCCGGGGCATTCTGACATGGCCTCACTCAAGAATGCTTACCGAGCAGCCATGGAGGACCTTTTTGAACAATATTGTGCAAATTATTTTTCATGGATTAGCGCTAATTGCAGGACTATCGAGCAGCCAATCCACCCCAGGCAATCCCTGGATATCGTCTCAAGTGCCATCCGTCTTTGCGCCCTCACCGTTGCCCAGGCCAAGCCGCAAACAGTGAGATCATGTGCTCGTGAACCAAAGTCCGAACCTCAGGCCGCACCGGCTATCGAAGTGGAAGATGGAGATTCGGAGGAGGAGGATGCCGTTTGGGTGGAACCACATCCCATGAGTCAAGATGACAATCATCCACCTTCGTCAGAGAAAAAACCTCCACCGGTTCAAAGGCAGTGGCGCCTAAAGCGGCCAAGTGCTAGTGATCATGAACATGATTATAAGGATAATCAGGTCGAAAGGGATCTTCTTGAGGAGTTCAACCAGAAAGCTCATGATGATGAGATGGACCAGGATTCAGTTGAATCTCCTACAAAAGATCCAGAGACAAAGGGAACTTGGAAGGACTGGGGTTGGAGTTGCAGGTTGCTTTTCATATATCGCCCATAAAAAATTCCATGGAGTCTTCATGATCATGACTGCTTCCAGGATTCCAAGCCTTTATCTGTGCCCGAGCCACTCCCTCTCGCCGCTGAAGAAGCTACTAAGAGGCTGGCCTCCAAGGAGAACAACATCGATGAGGACTTGTCGAAGGCACCTGCAGGACTTGTGTATGTAAATCAGGGCAATCACATGTTTTCTAAACAATTTAGAGATTGGGCAGGCCCAAAAAGTGTTGAAGAAGGCAGCTAGGCAATCTGAAGCAGGAGAAAGGGGAGAAGAATCTAGTGAAGTTTCAGGTGCTCCAAAGAAAAAGCCTGCCAAGGGCAGGGGGAGGGGCCGTGCAGGGGGTCGAGGTGGCCGGGGAACTGGTCGTGGTCGAACATCGAGTACTAAATCTGCCATCAGTGAGAATAAGCGAATGCGAGCAAAGCCTTCTGCGAAGCCACTGGACGAAGGTGGAGCAAAGCGCCGCAAGGACCAATGTTGTGTATATACGCGATGCTTTTGGAGGTGGATGCACATTCTTATAAGTTGCAGGAGGGTCCTTGCAAATATACCGACCCGATCTTGGTGGAAATGAAGCAAATTAGCGATTCTGATGACTACTTCACTATTGATGACGAAGTTGCCAAGGGGAACAAAAAGTTTCATCCTCACACACTCCAAACCTCCCGTGGTTGACCTGGCCTCCAATCAGGTCATGGACGCTCAATGGGCCTGAAGGATGCTCAAACTTGGGGGTGCTGCCAGGGCCATATCTAGATCTAGAAACTATTTGTGGTGGACCAGAGATTGAGGGGCCCAATGATTCTCAGGTTCTATCAAAAGAGCTTCTATGTCTACAAGCCTGACGTGAAAAAAGTCGAGAAGTACAACAAGGAGAACGACACCTCTTTCAAGGCGTGTTGGTTTCAAACTGCGCATTGCTGTTTAAATTAGCAATGAACTCGCGGTGAGGTGAACAAAAAAGCTGGTGAGGAGGAGGGTGGTGGCGTAACAGTGGGTTGGTCGAAACTGAATTCTTTGACCGAAGCGCCTCGTACTCAGTCGCGCTGCTTGTGACAGTGTGGATGCCTGCATCAGCGCTCATTGTACTGTATATTGAGGTGGGAGGTTGCCAAAACCTTCGGTGGCTGGCCTTTGGATGTGGAGTAAATCTCAGCCAGCACACAATTCAATTCTAGAGCTTTCCATAGAATCTCCGTCTCCATCCTGGAGTAAATATATATCAATATAGCAATAGATCTAGAGGCTAAAGCTAAATGTATATATACATACTGGAACGGAGACCAGGGCAGCTCTAATTTTGACTGAAGTCTTGCTTCGACACATCTTTATTCAGCACTGGGTATACGGAAAAGTCCCCTGCTTGTGAGAAATGTAGAGCATTTTAGCTTTAAGATCTAGATCTTCTAGTACGAGAAATGCTGTAAATTTGTCTCAACTGCCACTTGCATGCGCAGCTACCAGGTCCAGAGTTTAGACAGTTTGAAAGGCCATCAAGAGTTTTTCTGATGGGTAAGCCTAAGCCCAATCCCGCTTGGATGTATTCAAGACTCGCTTTGTCGAAGTCAGCCACCCGCCTCTTGCTGGCTTTTGGATTTCCGCCGATCTTGTCCCGACCTTGGACATGGTAACATGGTGCAGCAAAAGACCAGTTTCAGGGGACTGCCCTGGTCTACAGGCTGCACTTGGCCGATTGGTGTGCTCAGCAGCATCATGAGACTCTGGACCGTGTCCAGCCCTCAATTTTACAGCCACCTCATGGATTAATTAAACAACCCCACGCTCTAGATGGGTATATGCACTGAGGATCTCACGAACTACGACATGTTTTCGGGACAAGGAGCAGTGTGGAAGAACTTTTGTCAGAACCCAAATCACTTCACGGTCATTTTGGCATGGGCTCATGTAATTGTTTAAACAATCATGCCGTTGGTTTAGCGAGCGAGGCCTTCTGGGTGAGAAGACGTCTAGTGCTTAATTTTGCTCCCATGTATAATATATATATATATATATATTGGAGCAAACACTTGTTTGCATTCGATCGCTCAGTGCACATTGTGAACTCGAAGAAGACCCTATGGATGATCTTACATCTTTGCCAGGGACCCAAACTTTTAGGGCAGGGGTGATTGAGCAGCATATAACTGACATGCTAGACCCGATTGCAAGGACCGGCCTGAAGCGGGCGATGGTTAATATTCTTCGCCTTCAACCTGGAGCACTTCTTACCGCAGGGCTTCCGTGCAGTTCTTTTATCTTCTTGAACAGGGGAACATCAAAACGGAGTCGATCTAGGCCACTAGGTGATCAATCCAAAGAGTATATCAAGGTGTCGAATTTGTTCCTTGTCTGAATTCGAACCCAAGAGAGAGTCAAGATCTAGAGCGCACATCCTTAGAGACTAGTTTTTTGAGCTTTTCAGTACACGCGGTACCCCTAGTGATTCTTTCTAGTTCTTCCTCGATCGTCTTCAACCCTTTTATCTTTCGATAGCTTTAATATTGGATACATGTGAATATATATAATTATATATATTAGGATCGATCCTATCTATATGTTGTGCCCCAGTCTTGCGTGAGGCTTGGTTGCCGCCTCATACTCTTATGTATGCTGGCAGTTGCACGAGCGTGTGACTTCATGATAGCAAACTCGAAACTTTAACCTTAAGCTTGAACGCTAGGTGGATGGGATTATTTGGAGGCTTCAGTCCAAAGCCGACAGTCTTGATCGGAACAGCGTGTGTGACCCAGGACTTTCTTCATGCAATTATCAAGCAATTTCATCCTGCTGAGGAAATGGTTGCCCAAGATGAAGAGGACTCTTACCAAGGCCAAGAGACTCAAGTTGAGGTTGAGTTCTAAAGGCGTGGTGCGGAAAACCCAGTTGAAGGATGGGCGCACTTCTGTGTAGGGGCCTCATTGGAATTCCTCAATTGATATCTATAGATTATATGTTTTTCATTTCGGTTATATTGCTGAGATCTGGCGGACCCATGCTCAAGAAGACCCAGATCTATCCCATGAAGTTCGGAAAGGAGATAGCAACTATGCACACTGAACGCATGGTTAGGCACCAAGATCGATTATTTAAGTATATTATCAGTGAGCTATACGTACGCTAATCATCTAAACCCTTAGGCTGCTGGAAGCTATAGCAATGAAGTCGCTGCAAAAGCTCTCGAATCAATGGTAGGGGCCCCCAAATCACCTCCTTCCTGAATCCCCTAGCCCTTAAAGCTGTCATGGCTGAGGCAGCGGGCATGACGAAGACCATCAAGGCGCCATACCGTTGGCAGCATGCCAACCTCGAGGTGGTTGCAGCTTTTTTGAAAGCTGAGAAGGATGCTGGCCATTTTCAGCCAGCCTTCAAGTTTGAGTGCTAATCATGTGCTCCCTCTATAATGGTTTCCCAATATATCTAGGTGTTCGAATGAGATCTTAATGAAATAAATTAGCGTGCACTCAATCATATGCAATGCAATTTGGAATTCCTGATGAAATTTGAGTACTTCATCAAAATTCTGGAAAAATCCGGAAGCGTGAAAACTGCGTGAAAAGACCGTGAAACGACCGTGAAAAACCCGTAAAGACCAAGCAAAAACTTAGGTGAAAAAACATGTTAGTTTCAGGAAGTTCCGACTGTGTTTTTTGAAGCTGTCTTGGGCTCTATTTGGGGGTCACTATGGCACCAAGTGCCATAGAAAGGGCCAAGGCAAGGGCATCAAATGCTAAGAAAGCTGATGTGCCGGTTCCTCATATATATGTTCCTGAACTCTATATCTATAGACTTAATCCTTGGGATATTCCAAGGCCCAAGAAGCCTGAAGATGAGTCGAAAGGCTAGGCTTGAATCTCAAACATTAATTGTACTATATATACTGTTACATTATCGACCTGCGCAGGTACCGCCGCTGAGGCACACGCTCGCACCCCACCAGTGCGAATCCGGAGCAAGTCAAGTGGAGCCGGGCCTTACTCAACAGAAACTTTGAAGAGTGGAGAAACCAAAGAAAGCTTAGGTATGCGCACCGTAAGTCGAGCTGCGCTGAACCGCGCTAGCACTTTGGAACAAGAAGATGCGAGCAACAAACGATCTTCAGGATCCGGATCTAGGAAGAGGACTGCACCTTCCCCCCCGAACAGTAGATCAAAGAAGACCAAAATTGAAGAGGTTGAGGAGGAAAAGGATGAGGAGGAGGAAGAGGATCAGGAGGGGGAAGAGGCTCACGAGGAGGAACAGGCTCAGGAGGAGGAGGAAGAGGAGGAGGAGGAGGAGGAGGAAGACCCCAAGATAATCAAAAGGCCAGCAGCAGCACCAAGAAGCACCACAAAGACTTCACCAGCTAGTTCCAAGGCAAAGGCTAAGGCATCTCCCAAAAAGAAATCCGGCAAGCCGTCACCCAAGAAGTCACCCAAACCAAAGAGCTCAGCCAAGAAGTCACCCAAACCAAAGAGCTCACCCAAGAAGTCACCCAAACCAAAGAGCTCACCAAAGAAGTCACCCAAACC